ATCAGTCTTGTTGCTCTTCTCTGGACCCTCTCCAGTTGCTCCACATCATTCCTGAAATGTGGTGCCCAGAACTGGACACAATACTGCAACTGAGGCCTAATTAGCGCAGAGTAGAGCGGAAGAATCACTTCTCGTGTCTTGCTCACAACACTCTTGTTAATGCCTCTGTCATGTTACTGGATTTTTAGGGGATCAGACAGGTGCACCCGTGGGGGAGTGTTTGCCCCAAAAGTTGGTACAAAGGGGGCCATGTGCGGTGTTGAACGAGAGCTTATGTTCTACTGACTCTGTACATGCTATTCATGTACTTGTATGGTATCTGTGTGTGGAGTTATAACTATGTGCTCTGTGTTGATGCTGGAAGGTTCTCTGTCTGAGGCAGAGCAATGGGCAAGGAATGTTCAGCCAGTGGCTATGCTAATTAGCAAGGCTCCAGAGACAATAGATCTCGAAGTGCCACAGACACACCTGAGGAATGTCTGGAGACCTGGAAGCCAGCCAGGATAATGGTTGCTGACTTGGGACACAAGGATAGGTCAATGGACTATGTGACCTGCTGTGACCAGCTCTGGCCAGGAGAGGTGTATAAGTGCTATGTGGCACCCTCCAGCTGGTCTTCAGTTTAGCTCCTGATCCCAGATGCAGCCTTGCAGGGAACAACGAGCCGGAAAGAACCGTGGACCCATCCTGACATAGGATGTACACCAGAGACTTTTAAGATAGTAGTTTATAACATCTCTGCTAAGAGCCTGTATCGAGAGCTGGCTGATTCGATGCATGTAATGTATTTTCTTTAACAACCTTGCTCTCATGCTTTTCTTTCTTTTAGTAATAAACCTTTAGATTGTAGATTCTAATGGATTGGCCCAGCGTGCTCTTGTGGGTTAGATCCAGAGTGTAAATTGACCTGGGATCTGTGGCTGGTTTCTTGGGACCAGAAGAACCCGTTTGGGGTAGGTGAGATTGGGTTCTATAACCCCTCACCTGTGTGTTAACCCGGGGCTGATTGGGGCACAGAGGGGTTTTGCTCATGAGGCTTCTGGCTGGCCAGATTGGCAGCTGAAGCGTTCGGTGTGACTGGTTTGTGGCCTATTTGGGAAGGTCTCCAGTCTGGGGCTGTAAGGAGAAGCCCCGAGTTTAGAGCAATTTGCCCTAAGCGGATGCCCTCAGCTGTGCCCAGACCCGTCACAGCCTCCCTGAATTATGTTTGCTTTTTTTGCAACAGTGTCACAGTCTGGGCATCACCCTCTTACACAGCCCTTCCATCCCAGCTCTTGCAGCAAATGTAACAGATTGATACTCCAGCTCCACACGGAGATTGCTCACCTGGCAGCCATTCTATGCTGAAACACAACAGGTACTTACCACCAATGCTAATTGGGTTAGGGCAGAGGTGAATTGAAACTGCACAGGTAGAAAACTGAAATTACCTGAGCAGAAAGGAATGATTTGGTACCATTTTCAAAGTTCAGATGATACATTAATACCAAACAGGAGTTCTTTGCAGCATAGTTAATCGCCACAGGGCAAACAGAGTAACCTGCTCCTGACTGGTGAGATGTGCATCAAAAGCAGTTGAGGTGTACACTCATTTTTCCTTTCATGTCTCTGAGAATACAGCAGCCAGGTTCCTTATCAGTGGTTTACAATGGGAGCCCAGCACGTAGGCAAGCTAAACTGAAAGACAGCCCACACGACCCAGCTCCACAGAACAAAAGAGATCAGCGGGTTGAAATCTGGTCAAGTAGGCGAAAGTGGCTCTGGTCACACGGACAGCAGCTAGCAGTGGGCAGAAAAATGAAGCTGAACAGAAGAGGATATCTGAGATGAAAGATTCAAAGAGCAATTTTCTGTTCTGTGCCAAGGGGGAAGAGCTGTATCCAAAATATCTTTGGGGAAACTGCAACTGCAAAGTAATAACCCTCTTACTTCTCAATGTACACGGAGAGGCAAATAAAGGGAAAGCTATGGCCATGTACCTTGAGGAAATGTGGTTATTAAGGATCATCAAGAGAGAGAGAGGGCAATCAGGAGCGCGTGACCCTGACAGGCCTAGCAACACCACTAGCCAACTGAGATTTGAAATGTACCATATGATAAAGCATATAATAGGAATGTGTATGTTTATCTCGGTGGTGGGGACTGGAGCAGCTCCCTGTCTGCTGCTGGCAGGGAGCTGCTCCAGCCCCGTAGGGGGCCCATCGCAGACAAGGGCTCCTCTGGCCGGGCTGAAACAACCCCCCTCCCCTTCCGTTGGTTAACCGGCTAATTGGGATTTTACATCCCTAGTACATAAAATAGCACACAGCAGAGAAAGGTATTGTGGATGAGGAGAGCAAGAGGCAGCCTAGATTTATTGACGCCTGTGTCCAATAAGGAGGCAGAAGATCTGGCTCTATTATGCACTGGAGCATCACCCCGGATTTAGCAAAAGACAAGGAAGCAGCAATCAGGAGAGACATCCCATAGAGCTGTAGGCATTGTTTTATTCAGTGGCCAACCGCAGGTCTTAGCACCTCCACACAGTTGTCAAACAGATGTTGCAATAATGTGTCACCCTTGCCATTCCCAGGCCAATCTAACCAACAGGAACATGTACAGAGGCCAACAGCCTCTTAACTCCTGAAGTGAGGAAGATCCTGCACGGAGCAGCAAACCAACCTCCCCCGTTGCAGGGGAGATAGACAGCGCCCTCGTGCAGCACTGAGAACAGATCACACCTGTGCCCCTGTCACACAACAAACCACAGCCTTCCCCCTACCCCACCCCACCTCCATTCTTCTCCTCCTGCAGCCGCACCACACCTGCTCCCCCATCTCCCCTCACAGC